GGGGTAGAAAAATCCCAGCAGGAACTCATTAGCATAATAGGCCACACCAAACAGCAGGAACTCATTAGCATATTAGGCCACACCCCCTGACAGCATAGCTCATTAGCATATTAGGCCACACTCCATGTCACCAGAAGTGTGGCCACAGATCTACCCTCACAGAGGAGGGAGAGCTTGTACCTGAATAAACCTTGGTCTTAAAGGTACCACTGGACTCTTTTGGATTGCTAGCTATGGGGGGGGGGAAAGAGGGAGGGGAAGGAAAGAAGGAGGGAAAGAAATAGAGAAGGAAAGAAGGAGGGAAAGAAAGAGAAAGCGAGAGAAGGAGCTTTTCCTTATGCCAGTGTGGTTTGATTCATATTTTATGTAATTTAGTCAGATCACTTCTAAACAAAGTTTTAAAGTAGAGCACTGTGAACTTATTGGTTTGGGAAAGAAAGGTTTTCACATAAGTCCTGGAATACATAAACTTCTGATTTTCCCTGAAAGGCAGAGGGCTGGGCCCTGGAAAGGGCTGAATTCAAGAGGCAGAATTCACTCACCACTTAGTACAGTGAGTTAGTGGTGAGCACATTGTTAAAATTCAGCCACAGGAGACCTCTTAAGTTTCCACGTGATTGTTTTTGGGTAATACCTCTTCACAAGTGGGTATCATAGGCCAGCACACTGGAAAACCTTACTTCTGAGAATTGATTCCAAACAATTGGGTTGTAATGTCTTGCCATAATTCTTATGAACAAGATGTGGTAGTTATAATGCCTTTCTACTACTAGAAGGCAACAGTGTTTTTTAATCAGATGTCTTTGAAATTCCATTTTAAAAATAACTTTGGAACCATTTTATTCTGCAGAAAGTGTCTGTTAACTGGTAAGTTTTATTTGTTTGTTAGATTTTTATCCCACCCTTCCCTGCATGCAGGGCTCAGGGCAGCTCACAACAATTAAAAACACATAAAACAAAAAACATTCTACAGTTTTACAATATTAAGCACACTAAGATGGCCCATAAACCAGGTCGAGATGGAGCAGGGAAGGCCAGAATAATGAGACACCTGTTGCCTCAACCAAAGGCCCGGTGGAACATCTCCATTTTACAGGTTCTGTGGAACTGAAGCAGATCCCGCAGGGCCCTGATCTCACTCGGGAATGTTCCCGGCTCTGGTTGAGACTAAAAGGATGTCCTTAGGGCTAGGGAAAACCAGCAGCTATTGTTCTGATGAGCGTAATGCTCTTCAAGGGACATAGCGGGAGAGGTGGTCCTGTATATATGTAGGTCCCAGACCGCTCAGGGCTTTGAAGGGTAATACCATAACCTTGAACTGGATTCGGTATTCCACTGGAAGCCAATGCAGCTGGTGGAGCACTGGTTGGGTATGCGCTCTAAAAGGTGCCACCATAAGGACACGCACCACTGCATTTTAAACCAGCTGGAGTTTCCGAGTCAACCTCAAGGACAGCCCAGCATAGAGCGAGTTACAGTAATCCAGCCTGGAGGTGACCATTGCATGGATCACTGTGACTAGGTCACGGAGTGAGGGATCAGGAACCTGTTGCCCGAGCAGCTAGAGATGGTAAAAAGCTGTTCTAGCAACGGTCATGACCTGGGCCTCCATCGAAAGCGAGGCATCTAAGATCATGCCCAGACACCTTACCATTGGCGCTGGCATCAATGGCCCCCTGCTGAGGGCTGGGAACTGGATCCCTAAATCCATCCCTCCTTGACACAGGCACAGGACCTCCGTCTTTGATGGATTTCATTTCAGGCAGCTTTGCTGCAACCAGCCAGCCACGGCTTCTAATGCTCTGACTAGAACCTCTGGGGCGGTATGTATCTGGTCGGCTGTCCATCAATAGGTATAGCTGGGTGTCATCAGCATACTGGTGACAACCCAGCCCAAACCTCTGGACCAGCTGAGAGAGGGGGTGCATGTAGACATGTCAGCTAAAAAGATATTGTAATTCTTCTAAAAGAGTTCATGCAGGCCTTTTTTGTGGTAGTACTTCACTGGTACTGAGTACTACTGGCTACTCAGGAAGGGGCTCTCTCAAGTCCTGAGGGGAGAATTGTTGAAAATCAATACAATCTTATCTAGGAGTACCAGCACATTTTAAAAATCCAAACTCCCTAAATCACTGTGTTTATGTAATACATTGAAAATTTTGTCGAGATTGTTAATGCATGACTCCATGGGTGGCCTTTGGGGCCCTGGCCTTAGTGATTCTGGGCCCCATTGGCTCAGGAAAATGGAGCAACATGGAGTGGTAGTAGGGTGTGTACACACATCCCTTCCAATCCCAGTCCCTGCCTCTATCCCTCATGGAGGGACGGTTCCCTGGAGCACTCAAGGAAGCGATGGTCCGCCCTCTCTTGAAAAAACCATCTTTGGACCCGGCCGAATTGGCCAACTATCGGCCAGTGTCCAATTTGCCTTATTTAGGCAAACTTATCGAGAGGGCGGTGGCGTCACAGTTACGGAGCTACCTGGATGAGGCTTCCATCCTCGATCCCTCCCAGTCCGGGTTCCGCCCGGGTCACGGGACGGAGACGGTACTGGTTGCCCTGACTGACGATCTCCGTAGGCATCTGGATCGAGGTGGTGTGGCGGCACTGGTGTTGTTGGATCTGTCGGCTGCGTTCGACATGGTCGACCACCAGTTGCTGGCTCGCCGGCAGACCCTTCCCCAGGATGGGGAAAGCCAAAACCTTGACTGCACAGTCTACCCACAGTTGTTGATTTAGCCCATTTGCAGGGTAGCACCCGTGGAAGGCCCTTTCCAGATGAGCAAAGCTGTTACGGTAGAGCATGAGGGGAGAGGGGGTACTGTAGATAATGAGGGGCCAAGGTCATGGAGGGCTTTGTGCGTGATCGCCATAACCTTAGATTGAGCCTGGGAACAGATGGGCAGCCAGTGAAGCAGCTGCAGAGTAGGAGTAATGTGCATGCTCTAGTCTAGCTGCCAATAATAGCCAAGCTGCAGCATTCTGTACCAACTGGAGTCT